AACTGAACTTATTCGACTGGAATGTACTGGACCACAGAACCTTTTTGTGGTCTAGGCAAAGAAACAAGCTGAAGAAACTCCTAGAAGAGTATTTCATGGGTCATAAGAATTTAAGAGTAGGACTAGATAGGCTCTATAATATTTTTTATAAAAGAAATTGAATTTGGAAAAACACTCTAATCCGAGTAAGGGACACAATAGATCTTTTAGGTCGCAGTGCACTACCCCTTTTCACAGTAATAATAATAATAATACAAAATAGTTGAGTTTAATAGTTGAGTCAATTAAATTAAAATTTATTCCAATATTCATATATGATAATTTTAGAAATATTAAATATATATATCACTATCAGTATAGATTAAGATGATTTAATACATTGTATTTGACTGTTGAATAAGGTAATGATTTATATTCAATAGATTAGCTTAATTAATTAAAAAACATTTCTGAGGTTATATTATTACCTAAATATTATATATGTTATTACATTATTATATATTATTAAAAAACATTTCTGCGGTTATATTATTACCTATATATTATATATGTTATTATATTGTTACATATTATTAAAAATTATTTCTGCGATTATATTATTACGTGTATATAACACTACAATTAGTATAAATATTAATAAGAAGTGGTTAATATGCCACTATCATAGGATATATATACAGAGCGGTCTATGAGATCTATTGTATTATACCTGGAGAGAACATTCTAAACTTACTCAAGCCATCTGCATATCACATTATGATATGTGTCTTATAAACTTATTCTGTGTTCTTCCATTTCATCCTTGAAAGTTATCAATATCAGTTATCAATTTTAAAAACTACATAGTTTCAACATGACAGCATCTGCTACGGGATCAGTAGTTTTGTTTTGGGTTAAATTGATGATATGGATGTAGAATACAGGTGGTTTTATTAGGATGATGCCACAAGCTAAACAATATGTACTCTTTTGGTTGTGTTGTACGAGACGAGGTTGTGTTGTCTCAGTTATATAGTTTGACGCTTTGGTCATGTAAATTAGCTACCAATATTAGGTGCTATATCTCACGCCTCCGATTTTAGATATCGATTTTTTTTTTGTGAGGCTACGTAAAGAAATGTACTTAACATATGTGGCTACTTCTTAAACTTTTGACGCCAACGTTTTAAAAACAAACATCTATTGTCATGATAGAACTATTGCCCCCGACATAACGGCAGTTTAACAAAAGTGACCGTATTACAAAGGGTATTTCATATCTTAAAGCAGGATCAAGTGTATTTTATTCGAATTTACTTCTAGAACCACAAAATGGACTATCATTTGCTGAAGTGGTGGAAAAATTAAACACTCAGCGTTCAGTTCTATAAAAAAACGTTTAATTTTTTAAAATCTAATTTTTATCATAAATTGTACTATAAGAAAAAGTTAAGTTGTACATAAAAAAAATATTCAAAGACAATAATAGTAATAATAAATATTACATAAATTATAATTATAATAATATAACATCTAATAAACAAATTTGCTTGTATTTGGAAGTAGCGATCATGAATTTCAAGCTTCAAGTTTTTGCCATATAATTTGCCTCATTTTGCATTTCTCGAAGCAAACCTGGAACATTTTTTTCTAACGTTGGCTTTCACTATCGTTTGATATATTCCGCGGTCGCACGATTTATTTCCAATAGTTTGGCTTTTCGTTTTCTGGTTTCGCTATATCGTTATATCGTAATATCGTTGTTTCGTTTTTACTTTTTTGCTAGTGAAATTATTGGCTCCATTGCATACTAATTACGTACTACGAAATGTTAAGTTCATTCAAAAAAATTAGCTTGAGAAAAAAGGGTTCCACGCTAAAGCCGACAAACCATTCACCTCTTAACCGGTTTCTTCTATTCATACACTGAGAAAAATAAGTTGCTTCTATCATAAATTTAAAAAAATGATTAATTTTATTATTATAAACAGGAACTGTGACAGTTTGTTTCGATTAATTAATATTGCACAATTCTAAACGTCAATTAAATTAAAATATATTTTAATTTAATATTTTTCGAACTGAACGAATTCGAATTCGAGCAAGCGCATAGAACAAGCGCATGGTTTCGCTGCTTGTGAGTGGAAGAAAGTGCTCCGGTTAGAAAGGTGTTTGCATCGGTCTCTGCTGATGGAAAACGTGTGAGAGAATGCCAGCAACTTAGGTGGAAGGATTAGGTGACCAATAATATAAAAGCACTCGGTACTACCAACTGACTATAACAAGTAACTGATTGGGATGGTTGCATGAGGCTACTGGTAACAGCCAAGGGCGATTCACCAAGCCTGTGATAACCGACTAAGTAAGTAAGTGATATCGAATTAAAGCAGTTTTATCCATTTCACTTTTCGTTTATAGTTTTGATTTCTTGATGGAATTATAAAATAAGTTTTTATTCAGCTGTATAAACATTGAGCCTTGCATTTCTTTGTGTACGAAGTATTTGGTGTTCGGATTAAACTTGTGTTGTTTGTGCTATTATCTTATTTTGCTTTGTATTTTGTAGTTTATATTTTATATGTTCGCTATGTCTACGATAACTAATTCAGTGTTTAACCAGAGTTAAAGGCGCGAATAGATGGGTGCGCATATATTTGAGCTGCTCGAATATTGTAATACTCTCTCTCGTAGTAAACTAAATACATAATTGAAATAAATATAAAGTGGTGTATACAGCGTACGTTTAATAGTAATGTGTGTTTGACAAGCAAGACAGCTAGGTACTATAGTCAGAGGCTGGTGTGCACTACACCAAAATATACATCTGTTATGCTAGCTTTAGGTTTCACTATATATACTTCGATTTGTATACATTTTAGCATAGTCAGCTATAAGTTTTTGATGTTTATTTCACAACATCAACAAATCTCACTATCTAAGAAATCCATCACATTTAACTGATACCGCACGTTGCAGTTACATGCAAAATAATCGCAAGGAATAGAATTTTTAGGTCCATCCTGCTAAGCGAAAGTTTCTTAACAGGCAGTGATTTTGCTGAAATGGGAACTTACTTTGCTTAACGTTGAATTGACATGAACTATGAACGTATGTATTTGTTTTTGCGGCCTTCAAATCTGTACAGTGATTGGTGTTGCCCTGCGATCGTATCTAGTCTAGAAAGCCCTGGTGTAGATCAAGTGAATTAATGTACTACCGTATTTGAAGACATTCTTCCAATTGTAGATATCCTCAAAGCTTGGTGCTGTTATGCTTTGCGCGCTATCCATATTGGCTTTTATTTCTCTTGGCATTAAACTTTTTATATAGTTATATCTGTGATAGTTATACAGTTGATCCGTGATCCATTAATTTTTCCGATTTGCTAAAAATATACAGATCGTCCAATTAAATTGTTTACAGAAATAAATTTGTCCAAATTTCGATAAAAAAATATTGACAGAAGGTACTTGTTAAAGAGTAATGTGACAATATGCTCTGTGGCAATAT